ACGAACACTGAAGTGTTGATTTCCACAACGTATTGTTGTTAGTAGTTGATCATGAAGGTATTCTAATTTACTTCCCTACATGATGCTTTTACCAAATTAGTTACTATTGCTACAAGCAAATTAATCAAACATTGATAACTCAATAAACCGGCTGTTCTGAACTGTTTTACGAAAATAATAATCAAAAACTTCCTACACTGATGTCCAACCACAGAATTTTAATTAATTGCACAAGCCAAGTGAAAATGAAATGCAAATTTTATCATTTTTATCATTTTTCAAACACAAGATCTGATCTGTCTCAAGTCCAAGTAATAACTCAATTTCAAGTTACTATAAAAATAAGATACAATTAAAATAATATTCAGTTTTATGAAAATTTGTGTGGTTCAAGTATTCAATTTGCATATTCTGCTTTTTAGTCATAATGTATTTGAATAGTAAAACAAGTAGATTACAAAAAAACATATAAAAGTTATAACAACTGTATATGGTCATAATAGATAACCTATACTAATTTTGAGATAGGCTCCAATACGAGAAATAAAAAGTATGTTCGTTTGAACAAGTTTTCATTATATCTGATTTTGGGATAGGATCCGTGGGGTGAAATATAAAGTATGTTTGTTTGAACAAGTTTCCATCATTGCATTGAGTCAGACCTATATTAACATATGTTGAAAAATCTAACTTAACTAATAATAAGACAAAATACGAAAAAGAAAAGTAGAGGAAACTTCAATACAAGGAAAAAAATACAAAGGTTTTTGTTAACTTTTTTTTATTATATATTATTATAATATATTCAGAAGCGTTGTTTAAATTATCATGTTCTGATTTATTACATATTTCAAACAATAAAAATCCTTATGAATCATTTTGGTGTCATGGGCGTGTGGACGGTTGTGACAATCGCTCTTTTTTTGTAAATTTTGATTTTGTGACTGATCCATCGTATTTATGGATAGTATTTTGATATTTCCAAATTGGCCAAAATGATCTAAGTACTATTTAATTTACTTCATGTATGTATTGGTATTACATTTTATTTATCAATATTATTTAGGAAGCATATACTTTTTTAAGAAATGGAACGATTACAATTCATAACTCAACAATTTAATCAAACAGTAAATAATTACTATATATAGTAATATGTAACATGTAACGTATCATGTCTCACGTCTACAAAGATGATAAATAAAAAAAAGGGTAATACTTTATTAAGGCAGCTTTTACCTAATCCTTTAACTTTTCATGTGATTCAATTAAGAAATTCTTCTTCTGTGTTGTTTTTACGCCAAAACTTGTACTGAACTGTTTGTTCCATTCTTAAAGTATTTAATTCGAGTAATGTTTCCAAACGAACAAAGTTTCACGCGCAAAGATCGCAATCTCAGGTTTATGGCATCTTCACCGTGATATAAATCAAATGTTTTACAATTTTATGCTCATTATAAAATAAGTTCTAGAAAAACGGCAATAACTTAGGGATGGTACTTTAATTTTCTTTGGCCTTTGCAAAAAATATGCGTTAGTGTGAATTGCTCCTCGGTAAAGGGATTTTGAAGTTAGCGTTGAAGTTAAATTTATGATTATGAATTGTAAATCATGAATAATAGGTCAAAGTGCTCAGACTTTTACTGCTGTTTTGATTATATTAAAATTTATGAGTTTATTTGGATTAAATTCAATGGCGTACACAATTTACATTCGAAATACCTAGTACATTGCGATCTGTTACTGAACAGTGGTTGGAATCAAAAAGATAATTCTGATTAGAGATATTATTTAAATTATCGGAATATGATAAACAATCACATTTAATATTATAATTAAAGTTAATAGTTTATTTTTGAGCTCTACAAATATATATAATTTAAATACCGTTTCTAAACTAATGTATTTTACGAAATACAAACATATATTTTTGCTGTTTCATATAACTTTTTTTTAACATAATTCTCATAGTGCTTCACATTTTTTATGCTATTTCACGATATTCTGTGCTTGCTTGTAAATAAGTGGTTAGAGCAACGGGTTTTGAATCAGTTGACCAAGATTATTCTATGCATGCAGCCTGATTTCAAGTAGTAGGTTATACTTAGAAGTATAGATAACAATATGTTTCTACGTGCAAATAGCCTTTACCCGATTTTACTGGATCAAAAAAAATCATTACTATTAGAGAAGTTGTGATATTAAAAGGGATCACATAGAGATGGAACAGCTGTTCAAAATAATTGAAAAAAAAAATAATAAAAAAATATTAACCTGATCAATATATGATGCTGATGCTAATTTGATATTTTATTTTATTTTTTTGATACTAATATGGTGTTTACTAAAATTGGCAACAACTCTAAACGCACGATCCAAGGATTGTTGAGAGTAGTGTTGAAAAATACTGATTTATAATCTCAATTAATCATTTACAATTTAAATGAAATCATCAGCTTGATTTATCTGAAATATGTCATGGACTATTATTACAAGGAAATCACTGATCCCTGTGAAATATGTGCAGAAATACCTTAGCAAAACACGTGTCGATGCGGTTATACAACTTTCATTTCATTCGCTAAATCGCCTCAGGGCTTAAGGTGTTTACAGACTATAGGACACTGCATTGTTTAAGGTGACGGGGTTGATGTTCTCCGAGGAAAATTTTAATATTTTATGAATTTATCTCTCAACAGAAAGTGTTAAAAATCAAATCAAACAGTTTGCTATGCACCGATAAAGTTTAGTTCTTGCCACTGCTTGATTTGATTTTGTTCAAAAACTGTATGTGCTTCGAATTCACTTTTCTGTTAAAGCTAACTTATAACAATATTGATTCCAGGCCTTAAGGTGAAGATGAAAGTTGCATAATTTTACTATAGGCTTCTACATAAGTTAATATTTTTTTTCGAAACCTGGTTAGTGATCCATTGTTAGTAGTAATGATGAAAATGGATCTTTTAGTTTTTCAGAAATTTCGGGATTCACACGCAAAAGTTACTAATGAAGCTACTTAATTTCTACACTTTTTCACCGAAAACAAATATTGTTATAACTTGATTTTTTCCTTCATTTTTTCTCTTAATTTTTATTTCATAATTAAGTATAAATCAGGAGGACTTTTTCTATTAATCTGTAATTATTGACTCTTTTTTCACCAGTTTAAAAATTTGATTTAAAGCTGTAAATAACTAATTTTTTTTTATTATTATTAATTAATAAACAGCAATCAAAATTACATAAAATTTTATAAGCTATTCTGCTATGGTTTAACAACCAAATATATATGTATATAATAATTGAAATAATAATATAAATAATAATGATAACAGTAATAATAAGAATAATAATAATGAGAATGATAATATAGATAACTAATAGCTTATAATTTTTGTTGCAATGTTTCTCGACAAAATGCTTTGTCTTTTGAAATGAATATGCTTTTGCAAGATTTCTTTGGGTATTCTGTTTAATGTTTATATTATTTTAAATTTGAATAATTCATTAATTGTAAGATTCAAAGATTGCATTTATGTAATTTCCAAGAAAAATACTGATGCATATTTTTATTAGAAAACTAAATATTTATTAAGTATTTCACAAGTTTTAAATTAAGAAATGATATTATGAGATATAAATAAGGAAATCTACAGCTGATTTCTTATATTTTATTATACATAACTAATCTAATTATTAAAAATTTAAGATATTATTTAAAATAATCTCTAATAACTTCACCAGATGATAGACCATTGCATTGTTGAAAAGTTTTTCTATTATACGCTTCCTGGTTTTTAATTAATAGAGAAAGTTAATACTCAATGTCTAGTTTTATAATGTGCTTGATTAATATGCAAGCGAGCGAATTTATTGCTTATTATGATAATGAAATTATTGTAGCTGAGAAAATTCAATACGTTTCAGTAACAATATTCTTTTATCCAAATTAATGTCAGAAATCAATTATTTTAATGAAAAACATAAACAATATAATATTTCTGAGTAGATGTAGTTAATCGATAGTCGCTTTTTTAATTCGCAAAAGTGCATATAAAACATTTTGCTCGAAAATTTGCATAATGCAACTAAAATAATTTGTAATCCAGATTTTATCTAGTGCCAAATGGGTATTTAATATGTAATACTTGTTTGGCAATAGTTTCATATCCAAATACCTGTGCCAGTGTAATTCGTTGGTGAACGAATATTGTTATCTGGTAAATCCTTTAGTGTAATATAATGTCGCACTAAAAGCGGTTTTCGGCATTATATGCCATTTCCGCGGATATAAAATGACCATTAAAATCCCCGGATGATTTATATAATCACACAAAACTGTGGGAACAGTTCTATAAATAAATTTTAGTGGTTTTGCAAATACTTCCTATTTAAAATTTATATTCGAAGCACTAAAAGATTGTACCATATTATTTCTTTCATATAAGTAATTTTTATCTATACTTAACTATAGATTTCAAAATATATTTTTTCAATAAAACTTGTTGGAATATTCCATATTCAGAAAGTACCAAAATAATGTAAGATTTAAAATCGATCGCTATTAATTATTACAAAATTCAACATTCCCTCATATATTTCAACAATCTTTCAAAGATTACAATCGTTTTTATCGTTCCACAATAATTTATATCTTTTGTATATAAGTTTCATAATATATCCTACAGATATAACCTATCAATATCAGCGCAAGAATTTAGCTTCTGTATACAATCACTCGATTGATTATTATTATTAACTTTACATCATCCATCAATAAACGTCAAAGATTTGTACATTACGATTCATCATACACTTGACCTGTTTGAAATTATTCGAAAAAAAAAACTTTCACTGTTGATGTCTTCATGAGAACGGTTCCACAAGGCACCGTAATTTAAATTTAATTATATTATTTGTAGATGTAATTTAATTATTAGATTTTGTTCATAAAGCAATTATTGTGGATATTACAATAACAAATTTCTATTTCTTTTCAGAATTGGGTCTGCATCGTTGGCTGGTTCATATAGAGTTCTTTGTGAAAGAATGTGCTTTTGCCGTACATATAAAAATTTATCTAGAGATTTTTTATAATGTAAAATAATCTTTAAACGCCGGTCGTTAAAGATAATTTTTATACAAATTTTAAAATAGAATTCGTGATAATTTTAGCACAATTATCTATTTTTATAGTTGTTAATTCGTGTACAGTGAATTTTATATTATAAAAGACGCCTGCTTAGGAGTGAGGATGGAGACAGAGGAAGTTACAAAACTTGTCGATGGGATATACAAGGTAAGAATTATTTTATTGCTATTATTTTCTACTGTATTATTATTTTTCTTTCATTATTTGTAAAAATATTTACTGACTAACTACAAATGTTGATGTAATAGTGCGAAGACTCACGATTCCATGAGAATTGCGTCTTCATAGCATTGTTTTTCTGACGTAATGCAATCAGTGCGTGACCGTTGGCACTATCTTTTGTGATTAATATACCATAAAAAATTATAAATTGAACACACGAATTTTTATTGTGTTCAGCAATGACAGCCATTTAATAACTTATTCTCGCCAGACGTGAGATATCATACAAAATGCACATCCATCACTTTCAACGTGATCTTGACCGAAATTCTAATGATTGAAACGAAATCTTTTTGATTGATTTTATTTGGATTGCTGTATGTGATTGCAATTATTCATACTTGAAGTCTGGTAATTTGTGAAATTATTTTATGCAAATTTATCGAATTCCAAACTCTTGTTTTGGTAACTTGAATGATTTATCTCAATATGTAATAAAATTAAAATAGTTAACATCATTAACAAAACAAATGAGTTTAAATATAAATTGTGAGTGTATTATATATAATGCATATTTGATACAAGTTTCCAAAGACAAAAGTGAAATTTTCGTTTCATGTAATAACCATCCAATCCTCAATTGCATATAAATAATTGCTTAATCATTCAAATCCCAATTACAAATATTTCTAATGGACCCGTATATATGCCACAAACAATAAACCTTGTATTGCACAGATGTATCAGTAATTGCAAATCTAGATAGACATCTTCATAAAACCGTCAAAGGTTATACGGTCTCCATTACCGACCTTTGTACATATAGCAATATTTTTTCTGTTTAATTATTGAACACGACATTTCTAAAATTAATTTTTCGTGTACAATCCTCATGCTGTGTGAGAATACTCATTTGGAAATGGAATTCCGATGGAGAAGGCTTTATGAATTGAAATAAAAAATGCAACCGCGATTGGCAGTAATAAGACCACAGTTTGAATTTTAGAGGACAGTTTAACTTTCTTGAAGCGTTGCCATAACAACGCAATGTTACGGACCATTTTATCGGAGAATTGGCCCTTAAATCATATCTTCCTAATCTTATATTTCAATCACATAAATAAAATTGATTATCAAATTGAGCTACCATTTCAGCATCTGAAAAATCAATGTAGTTTATATCCAACAATTCAACATATTTCCTGTCACCTAAAAACCACCCCGAATCATTCAATTACCCAATATATATTATTTAATTTTTCCCCAACCTATTTACATTTATGTTTGTGCTGAAATATATGCCCATAAATATTTTTACGCACAACCAACGAAGGAAGATTAAAATTTATTGAGTGTGAATCTAAAAGGGCGTCAAGATAAGAGATATAAGAATTAATTGACCATAAATAACAATAATAAACGTATAATGTGACACGCCTGTATTACTATGTAACCGTAGAACAAAATATAATATTCCCAAAGACGAAAAAAAGTAATTTTCCATATGAGCGGATTCTCGGCTTCTCTATCCGGCGAAGAACGTTCGCAATTTATGCCTTGAAGGGAAGATGGCTCGGTTTGTTTTTTTTTTACTCAGTCACACATCGAATGAACAATTGCGATATTTTCTCACGACGTATAAATCATAAAAAAGTAAATTATTTGTAAATTATCGTCGTATTAGGTAATTTGAGGTGTTCAAATATATAGCGGTGAGGAGTCATCACGATATGATAATAAAAATAATTTTAGTACACTATACCTGTTAGAAGGCATCTAGATTATGTTCCATGCAAAAATTGATATTATCTTTAAACTTGCTTTAATATAATTTTATCTTCAAAGGAAAACGAATAATGATTAATTCGGAATACACCTAAAGACATTGATTTTTTTAACTTATTAGGCATAATATTAGAATTTTCATTACATTTTTTAATGTGATCATATCTAAGAAAACTTCCAAAATTATGTGATGTCAAATTTTGATAACAATGCCAGCTATCACTCAAAAAGCTCTTCCTATAGTTCTTCAAGTTCTTCAATGTATCGAATTGGACAGTATATATAATATTATAAACCTTATTATAAGTAATATATCTAATTTATAATCAATATTGTATTCATCACGTATCTTGTTAGCGTATATAGTCTTTGCCTATTGTTTTTTACATAAAAATATCGCAGAATTAAGTTCAATGAAAAATAGCGTAACCGCAGAATTAAGTTAAATAGAAAAATTCCGTATTTCTACATCGATTTTGATAAATCTATATATGTACTGGATAATATTTCTCATTTATATTCATATGCAAATACATTGCAACTGTTTTCAACAAGAACCTGATATTTTATGAACCAGAATATTAACATCTCAAAATGGTAGCGCCAGTGAGACGTTATTTATTGGAAGTACATTTGCATTTTGCTTCTATATTTGTAACACTATTAATAAAGTTTTCAAGTAATTATTAATATAAGATATCAATATAGAAAAACTAAAAATTGAATAAACTCTCTGATATCTGCAATTATTGCAATATTCTGATATCTGCAATTATATTATTCGAGTTGATCAACAAAAATTCTAATTTTCATGGTTTTTACAATTTCTAAGTGGGTGATTGGGTAGTTAAATAAAACTTAAGTTTTTAGCTAAAAAAACGTTCTGTAAGCATTTAGGTTCAGAAACTTGGACAAAAACTTGGGACGCAATTAATTAAGAACTTAGCGTCTTGGATTTTCTGTCAAAAGCAAACGAATTTGAAATAATTTTGAAATTTCAAATAAACATATATTCTATACCAATCTCATGAAATACCAAGCATAAATATTTACTTTCATTAGTGATTGTCGAACTCTCCTTATCTTTTATTAATCTTAATATTAATGGAGTTCGACATATCTGTTACGATTGGTAATACTATTTATTTAAATACAATATATCTTAGGTTTAATCTGTTTGACATTCCACAATACAAATGATATAAACATTATATATTATGAAAGAGATTTTATTCAAATGTAAATTCAAATACTTAATTCAAAACGCTTGTCATTTAATAGACTCGAGAGAACTTAAGAAAAGTTGTTCATATGTTTGTAATATTAATCATTACCAGTTTTGACTACCACTTTTAGTTTATGAATGTGTTTGTATTTCGCAAAATGCCATGAGATATATTGAACGTTGTCGAAGCTTTTTTCATTTAACACAATTTCAAAATGTTTCTGATAAAACATATTAGAAATTTACTTCGTTTTTTAAATGCCATTGTTCATTTTCACCTAGTTCCATGGTCTTTAACACCCAAGCAATTAGAAAGCTATCAATAGCATGTTTTAGCATTGTTAATCAGAACTTTAACAATGGTTGAAAGCAAAAAATCAACTTCATGCTTAATTTACAATCGATGTCAAGTTTAATGCTACTAAAAAGCCCCGGTTAAAGTGTTACTGATCATTGTTCCAGTTCTTGTATAATTGTTCAATTATCAAGTTAGTAAAGAATTATAGAGATAATAAATATATGCCCTCCAGCATACCCGCTAATTGCACTAAGAGATTCATTGAGTTATAGATAATATTGATACTGTTTCACAAATTTTCATTTTAATTAATTTTAAAATATTGAAATTTTGTAGCACGCCTCAAAATAAAATTAAAGTCTTAGTATTATCCTAGTTTTTCTAAAATTTATCTTTGTATAATTATTAAATATACAATTTTCAATATTAAATATACTAATTGTATGACATAAAACATCAATATTTGTTTATAAAATTGATCTTTAGGTAAGCAATGCCCAATAGGGGACCAATAGAGTAACATTTTTCATACTTTTTGATATGTTGATAAAGTCTTTGATATGAATATTTAAATTAACTGAGCGTAAATAGCTCAGTCAGTAGCATGCCCGACTAACACACCAAGGATACTCGCTTCCAGACTTGTCACTGACATAGATTTTTTTTTATTATTGATGTAATATTTTCATATCTCAGTCAGGCAGGGGTGTGGGTAATTTATTGGTGAGTTATTTGATTTAAAGATTAAAAGTAGGTAGAATTTGAAATGTTGATTGGGGTTAGAATAGAATTAAAAGTTACAAAAAAATGAAGTTAGTTATAGAGACAAAAATATATAGTATAGGATATATATTATGATACTTAACATAATTTGATCCATTACTTTATCTAAATTTCCTTAAAATAATAGCTGTACTATGGGTATTTTGTTAGGGTAGTTATTAGGGCAGTAGTTCTAGGTGAGCAGAATAAAATGTTTTCTCGACCTATGTTTAAAATGAAGAATATTTTATTTCACTGTCCGATTTATAAGCGCAACATTATCGCGAAGCTAGTGAACGTCAAAAGTGCTCGGTAAAGTCACTTGTTCTTCGAATGATGAAAACTGGTCACGATTCTTATAAGAATATAAATATCTTCAAAGTATTTGTGGAACCTTTAGCTGTGTAGAAACATCTACTAGAGACACATAAATACAACAATTCTATTTCTTATATAAATATACTTTGACGATCGAATCCAAGCCAAGTTCATTACTTTAAAAGCATTTTAATTTTTAGAACTTTTTTGCAATTCCAACAACAGCCTCCAACTGCTATAATAATAGTATCAAATTTCAGTTTATAATATCGCACATACTAATACATATTTTCAAATCTATTTGGTGTAATTTTGCTATAATATTATCTGAAGTACTTCTTTTGAAAATATCTTTCTTGATTTCTAACAATCCACTGCCAAATCTGCAACATAAGAAATATTTTCCAATGAATGCCAAAGGTACAAAAGCGCCAATATCACATTTTAAAATAGACAAGTATAATTTCGATTATATATTTATACTTTGTACTTGTAAATTCTACTCTGACGATTTATGCCAGATATTGCAATTGTTAGATAATAATTGAGATGATAAAACTTATTTTCATATAATTATTTCAAGTTCTAGACTTCTGG